TGCTGATAAGGACTCCGTGCCACCCTGGTCCCTGATGCCGCGCTCAGCTGAAGGGAAAATGCCTTTGCTGCCCTTAGGGCATGTCATGAAAACCAGAGCTGCTCTGGCAGAGAGCAGGGATTGGCTCCGTTCTGCACATAAGACTCCTTTTCGCCCTTGGAGGAGAACGGTATCTAGAGATATTTTTCTGCGAAACACAATTTATGGAAGCCCACTTCCAGCACCGAGGGGATTCAGGACTTTCTGGGACTTTCTCTCGTAGCCCACCAATGGAGCAAACGTGGCACAGCTACTTTGGATGTATAAACTAACTGTACTTCAGGTGGCATCTCCAGCCATGGCCAAGCTACCAGGGCTGCTGTTCGGTACTGTCATCTAGAGATAGTGGCTTTCTTTAGCAACGACCAGGAGAAAAATACAGGCACGCAAACGGCGCAGTGTTCTTCGAGGTACCATGAAACATCAAGTTGCGGTGCAAGCTGCAAACAGTAGAAGAGATCCATAACCAGACAACAAAATCATGAGCAAAAAGATAATAAAAATAAATAAGTATACCAACCGGTTGTCAGGATACCGTTGCACTGTCCTCCTGAGAGTTAAATATGACTGACCATGAGAGAGCCACGCATGCCAGGAGGAGAGCTACCAGAAAACCACCAGGACGTGGAAGGAAGGGGACACAAAATGCCGACTGCTTGGCACACACCCAGCGCCACGTGGCACTACTGATCTGCAGGACCCACTTCTCTTATTTGTTCTTATTTCAAATCAGTGCCTGGTTTGGGAGCCTGACTGCTTGTTACGGGGTCTCAGTTGCTGCTCCGCCTCTGCAGACTGCCTGAAGACCTGTCCCAGCTTTGCAACTGGAGCCACTGGGAACTGGTTGTGTGCGTGAGGCTTGCTCGAGGGAACGGGGTTTTGCAAAAAATCAATCCTTCCCTGGTTTCTCTGTGACAGTATTTCCCTGTGGCAGATGCCATATGGCTCTGAAGGATAACAGGACAGGATGGGCGGCAGGTCTTGTTAGAGCTATGGGGAATTGTAACACACGCAGAAGGAAAGCCGAGTCCAGCAGAAAACATCTGCAAAACCCTTTTATCCCTCGAAATGCAGTTTGGCTGCATCATGAGAAATGGTAAGAAATCAACTCCAAGTACTCCGTGTCATTGATTAATGACGGTGCGGAGGCACCACAACAAGACGGTTTCTTTGCATTTCATATTTACTGTGTCCTTCTTGCTTTAGCTATCCCCAGAAGAAAGGCAAGCCTCGGCACGGCTGCACACCTCCTGCAAGCACTGAGATTCATGCGGAGTCCCCCCTCCTCGTCAGCAGTGCTGAGCAGCCACGTGGAAACCTTCCCCTCGGCTGCGGGGATCCCCGTGGGCTCAGCCCCCCGAGAGACCGTGTTCGGGCTGCCTGGAAGGCCACCAGGGACCTTCTCCAGGGAGTAACGGGAGCAACGCTGCACCCAGAGGGGAACTCACTCATTCATCCTGCCCATCTACGCACAGATTTCCAAGGCTTTTGGATCCAGGCCAGGCAAATATCTCCCCAGTTTACCAGTCCCATAGTTCCAAATACTGACTGGGGTGAAAGGAGAGTTACTTTTTTTAAAAAATAAAAAAAAATAAAATAAAATCAAACTTTACTTTTATGGCTTGTTTAACAGTTTTGTGGTTTGCTTAGGCAGGTCTTCTACGTTCTGGTGGCTTTTTTTTCCAAACAGAAAACGCAGGACAGTTCAAAAAGCAAGAAAATAGCAACACAGAAAGATGGAACAAAGGGCTCCAAGTAGCACTGAAATTCCTATTTAAAAAAAAAAAAAAGGGCCCTAAGCTCTAGGTTGGCAATTCAGCCTCTAATGTAGCTGGTAAACAGACTGGGGAAAAAAAAGCAGAGAAGATGGAGAAACGGAGGTGCTCATAATATTAACTGATTAAGTGCTCTGTAATTAAGCTATGAGTAGTTGCCCTCCAAGGAGCTACAAGGCTGAAGCCTTGGCTTTGCGGCCTTATTCCATGATGCAGAAAAGCTGCAGAAGCCATATCCTTCTTGTGGGCAGAATCAGAGCAAATGTGTTTAGTGGCGGTGAAATGTGGCTTAGGAAAACAACGCGGTGATTTTCTTTGTTGTTTGCTTTTTAAGGTGGAAGTTCGGGGCACTGCAAGAAACCTCTGCCCTGGGGAGAGGACGACTGCGCGAGGCAGCTCAGCGTGCTCTGCCAGAGCACCTCCTGCTCTCTGTCAAAGCATCTTCAGGGGCAGGCCAGTTGTATCCCCTGAATATTTCCTTCTTCCCTAATTCTCCTGATTTGACTGAGCTCATTATCTGCATCCCACTAATCCTAGAAGAATTGATACACATGTGGGAGATTTCTGTTGCTTAACGAGACCTGGCTTACACTAATCAGTTGCTGCTCTGACAAGGATGCTCTGACATCCCTGACCAAAGCTCAGGCTCTGTGGGAGTGATCTACCCACAACGTGAATGTCCTCTTACGGGACAAAATGCTAGAGCTTCTTCTCTGGTTTACACAGCATCCCAGACTGGTGGGGGCTGGAAGGGCCCTCTGGAGCTCCCCCAGTGCCACCCCCCGCCAGAGCAGGAGCACCTCCAGCAGTGGCACAGGACGGCGTCCAGGCGGGTTTGGGATGGCTCCAGAGGGGGAGACTCCCCCACCTCTCTGGGCAGCCTGTGCCACTGCTCTGCCGCCCTCACAGCAGAGAAGGCCCTCCTCAGGTGGAGATGGAACTGCCTGTGCTCCAGTTTGTGCCCATTCCCTCTTGTTCTGTCACTGGGCACCGCTGGAAACAGACTGTTCCCATCCCCCCGGCACCTCCCTTTAAGGATTGATAAGCGTTGATGAGATCCCTCTCAGTCTTCTCTTCTCCAGACTGAACAGCCCCACATCCCTCAGCTTTTCCTTGTAAGAAAGATGCCCCAGTCCCCTCATCATCTTCGTAGCCCTTTGCTGGACCCTCTCCAGCAGTTCCCTGTCCTTCTTGAACACGTCACTGGCTTGCTTGCTTGCTAACATCGAACATCATTTGATTTTATGACAGTTTTTCTCTCTTGAAAAAACCCCTAATTGTGACTAAGTCAAATCCCAGGCCGCCAGGCTTGGCAAACACGCGCGGCTTGAAAGCAGTGAATTCACATCTCCCAAGCGCTGGGGGTGGCACGGGAGCCCCCAGTGTGGCTCAGCTCCAGCGTGGGAGATGAAATTCTTCTATTGGGGTAAACCTGCCCCAGCCTGGAGCTGTGCAGATTCACCCCCTCAGCCCGGGTACCGGCGGCAGCACCGTGCCCAGCTCCAGGCTGGAGCATCACCTTGGGGGTGTCGGGATAAGGCTACACTGATGGGGGACAGCAGCACGGGGACACCCAGTTTGCCCTTGCCGTACTGGGAATGGGAACTGCTTAGAGGACTCCTGCGGGACGCAGCCCGCTGCAGTGCTGCGCAGGGACAGACCTGCAACAGCTCCAGCGCTGCAGGGTCCCCCGGCACCTCAGCACGTCCCCTCCTAAGGCAGGGGAAGGCTCATCGCCTGCTCCGAGGTTCCCAGTCAAACAGAAACGAAACCCAAGGGGGACGTTTCTTTCCAGTCAAGCAGACTGGAAAGAAACGTCCCCATTGGGTTTTGTTTCTTTTTCAGTATTCCACCTTAAATGTTTTCACTGCGACTTGCGATGGTTATTAGTCCAGCATGCAGAGTGCAACAGGTCTGGCCATACCGAAGCAGATGAGGCGCTCTGATTCAGACTAGAGGGCCAAGGTTAGCCACTTACCAGAGACCCCCGCTTGTATTGACTATACCATGTGGAAGGCTGTTCTTTGGGCCAACGAGCCATTTTACTCTGTAAAATACGACACGGGTTAAAGAAAACAGAAAGCACCAAGATGCATCTTACCAGTTTACCGCGCTTGAATTCACTGAACCAGGAGCCTGGGTTTTCCTTTGGCCAAGAAGTAATTCTAGCCTAGTTTGTGGACGGCAAGGAGGAAAGAGAGAAAGAAAAAAAAAAAAAAAGAAATAAAAAAGAGTTACATTCAATTCCACAAGCAGAGTCTGCATGTCTTATTGAAACTGTCCAACTTCCTTTAAAATGTTTTCTTAATCTTTATACACCAGTAACAAGAGCAGCCGGCAGAGCCCTAAGATGCCAGCAGCATCTCGAGCAGAACAGGATGGCGCAGTGCTGCCCTGGGTGCCCAGCGCTGCCTCGGCATCAGCTTCCTTTGCTAAGGGCTGATGATCTCTGCCTCCAAGAGCCTTTGGATGCAAAACCAGCGGTGCAGTCTATCGGCAGGAGAGATAAAAGGAAAGATAGAGGGGAAAAAAGGAAATATCAATGGTAAAAGATCCACTGATCTTCGTGGGAGGGCTGCGTTGGAAAAGCAACGCTGATAACGGAGAAGGCTGCTGTCACTCTAACGTCAAATCCAGATGCTGTGAGGCTGGGAAAAGCAGAGTGTGATTAGGAAAAAACAGAGTGTGATTAGGAAAAAGCAGCGCGTGATTAGGAAAAAGCCTCTGCCTGCCTCCTGCGTTTGTGCAGCAATACGGGGTAGCACGGGCAGCGCATCCTGCACAGTCGGCGCTGGACCACCACACGTGATGGAGCTCCAGCTACCCAGAGTGAAGCCGGGGCTGACCTTGACAAGAAATGAGCTGTCAGAACATCCTTTATGGCAGCCCTGCCGAAGCAGCTGAATCCCCGTTTCTGAGTCAGAGCCCGAGGAAGGAGCGTGGCTGCCGTCTGCTCCCTTACCCTCCCACAAGCTCCCTCACTTCTGCCATAAATCTCTCCCCAAAACAACAGCAAAGCTATATGCAGGTGTCTTGGGATTGTCTTTTCCTTTCCAGTACGTCAACCATAAAGCGAGTCAGTGTGTTTCTCCTGGGTCTGAAAGGGGATATGGCTTAAACTCTGCTGTGGCTTATAATAAAACCGCTCAGCCAATACTTAATGCCGGTCTGGTAGCTGTTTCCTTTCCTCTACCTGGGAAAAGGGCAGGCTGAAGGTTTTTCTTATTTATGACAGGACTGCAAAAAGTGTAGCAGAATTTGCATTTTGAGGAGCATCGCAGCCTGCGGTCAGAAGAGCAGCTCCACAGCGGAGGAGACGGGGGCAAAGAGCCACTCGCCGAGTCAGCGTGGCAGGAGTGTGGGCAGCTCTAACATCATGGGCAGACTCCGCTTTTTTAGCTGTCAACGTTTTGAGGAGAGCCACGGCAAGTTAATGCAAAGGAGAAGAAATCCATCTCTTATTTAAACAGCCCTACCAAAAACTCGAGGCAGATTTATGTTGTGTGTTATTTGCCCTGTGCTGGCGCATATTTCTGGTGGATGAAATTCAGCAAGCAAAGGGCTTCCACTGGAGTGAACAGCTTTGTCTGCATCTTAACCCAGCTGGAGCGCAACTGTGCCACTGACAGAGCTCCCCCAGGCCGCTTCGCGAGAGTTTCTGCTTGGCCAGTGCAGGAGCTGGTCCCCAGGCGTCAGAAAACACAGTGCGTGGATACAGGACAAAGACGATGAGTATGGTTGAGCTATGCACATCATTACACAAATAACTTAATCAACCTTGTGCATCGGTGCCAGGAAGAGCGCCGAGGCTAGTTGCAATCATTTAGGAAACCAAATACCCACAAGAACCACCAGGAAAAAATGAGATGAGATAAATATTTATCCGCTCTGCCTGCAGGCACAGTAAGGGCAGAGGAGTCGGCGGTGCTTATGCACGCAGACAGCGGAGCGGCAGCCCGGCTGCAGCACGGGAGAGCAGGAAGGAGTTAAATGAAGCTCACGGGGAGCTGCAGTTCCTGTGCCAACATACACTTCTGCCTTTGTAAAGCAAAGTGAAAAAAAAAATAAAAAATAAGGTTTTAGCATTTATTATGCCTGGGAAATCATCAAAGACTTGTCCCAAATCACAGTTTAAATCTGACTTACTCAAAGAAATTCTCTTTGTAAACATACTCCTTATTATTTTAGAAGCCAACATTGTGTAACAAAGAAATGTTCTGGATCTTTAATCCTTACTTGCAACTGTTCAAGTCTCCTGAAATTGACTGTCTATGAATATTCATATTAGGAAACAATCTCTTATCACTATGATACAGAGTGGAAAAAGAGAAGTTGTGTTGACTTACTCCTTCAGATTTCTTATCAGGGAAGATGCAAGTCTCTCCACCAGCTGTGAAATTACAGTAAACTTTGAAAGAGTCCCTGGAACATCCTTGGTTAGGATCAACCCAGTATTCACCTGGATGCACAAGAGGGAAGAGAAGAAAGAATCAGCTCTGTGAAGGAAGGGCGATGGGCACTTCAGCAACCATCTTACCAGCGGTATTTCATCTCTGTCACAGGCTACTATTTATATGTACGTTTTTGGATAGCTGGTTATGTTCTGATCCCACATAATACTGTGGCACCTTACAGGAATAGCTATTTTTCATCATATATCCCTATTCTTAGAATAGAATCGAATATTCCAGTTGGAAGGGACCTACAACGAGCACCCAGCCCAACTCTTCTCTACGTATTCCTTCTTTGTCCGCCACATTCCTCAATGGGCCACCAGGACTGGGGTCTCCCCAAATTACTTCTCTTCCTGCACTCGCTTATATTCACTGTGCGGAGCTGGGAAACCTAAGGTGTTTTTCCCTGCACCCCCTCTTGTCCCGGGACACACCGTCTGGGAAATCAGGGTGACAGAGCTGCAGATCCTTGCAGGTACGCGCTGGGTTATGTTGAGTGCCCAATGGATGCTTCATTTGCTCAATTTCCAGTTTCAAGGAATTCAGCGACCCGAAAATTTCCTCCATGCCATCTGCATAGTCCATGTAGTTGTCGGCATTTCCATCGTCCACCAGCTGGCTGGCGTCAATATTTCGCCTGGTCCTCTTGGAAGCCTGGATGGGCAGCGGCTGGATGACTTCTCCAGGAGGACCCTGATTTGTGGGGAAAGAAGATACAACTTCTCACTGCATTGGCAGTGGGGAAGAGAGAAGAGATGGCCAAAGCAGCCACCAGCGCTGAGAAGCAGCATCACAAGATATACGCTAGACATGTAAAACACTCGCGATGGTACTGATAAAAACACCGGCCGCCAGGCTTGGACGCTGGGTCCATCTTCTCTTGTCATCTTCCCATTAGTAACTTCTCCCTTCGCATCCTGCTTTCTTCCCCAGCATCTCTAAGAGATGCCAATGCATTCCCAGGACTCCTGATGTGCTGAATCTTTGTGCAGAAATCTTCTACTTCTTAACATCACAACACCCATTAAATCTGAACCTCATTTCATACTTCATGTAACGGGTTCTACTTACAGGAGGCCCTGGGGGCCCAGGAAGACCCGATTCACCCTTCGGACCCGTTGGACCCTGGGTGGAAAAAAAAGAGAAAAACATCTGAGTCACTCAGGAAAAAGCACTTATCACTTATATCACATCCCAAACATTATTTCTTTTAATAGTCTCTTATGGCAAAAACTTTCTCCTTGTCCCTTCAGGTACACAAGAGGAGTCTCCTCGTACCCCACCAAGAAAAAGTTATTTTGGTTATTTTTGAGGCTTGGGTAAAATGAAAAGATCAGTTCAACACTTGGGGTTAAACACACAAATTTTGCTTAGGCTTCCTGTGGAAAAGGAAGAATCTTCCAGTGCATGAAAATGTTAACTCTCCAAATCAATTCAACAGCTTTATAAATCAAATAAAATCTTAAAATTAATAAAACATTGAATTCTGCATGGCAAAAAGATGTTAGGAAGTTGCCCAAGCGGAATTTTTAGCTGCCTGCATAGGAGATCTGTAACATGAAGCTTGCTTCAGTGCCGCATTTCTCACGGAGTTCTTCGCTTTTCAGCTTGCCACCTCCCGCTTCACAGTCTATTTTTATTACCCTCCGCTTTACAGCAGTAGGTTTTCTCCTAAGGACTATGCACTGGATTCCTCCTTATGATCTTTGCTGTGCTGATGTTCAATGAAGTACAGTGTGTGTAACAAAAACCTTTCCCAATTATAATTTCTGGGCTTAGACGCCCTGAAAAGGCTGCATTTGCTACAGTCATCTTTGGCTAATTGCCTTAATGCCACTGATGTAAAGAAGTCGCAGCAGGTTACGCACTTAATAAGAGCTCCTCAGCCTTTTCGTTTAACAATGTCTATACTCACTGATGATCCTTTAGCACCTTTGGGACCAGGTGGACCCTGTGTAGAGAAAAATACAGAAAGGAGTCAGTCCATTTCCTCGCAGAGAAGTGTCTCTCCTTAGAGAGACACAGAGTAGTGTTATACGAGGTGGTTTTCTTTCTTAATTCCCTTCCTTTCTGTTTCCACGTTTCACATCCACTTGAGTTCGGTGTGGCTTTTATTTGCCGACACGCAAAAAGCATTTGTGTCAGACCAATCTGTGTCAGCGCTCCGCACTCCTGCCCGGGTGGGGACTGGAAAAGCTGCTGTGTGATTACGGTGAGCCGGGGCTCATCCTGGCTGCGTGCTCAGGACACCCAGCAATAGCGAATGCCTTTGGGCACCCAGTGGGCAAAAAAAAAAATGCAAATAGCAAAAAGTGCAAGAAATCACCACGTGATTGCAGATAATCCAAAAGAAAAGGGGGAGAGAAAGAGGGTGGACTAATCTCCCTGCCTCCATCACGCCGTGTCCCCTGTGCCCATCTCTCAGCTCACGCGTCACCCCCAGTGCTCCTGTAACTCGTTCAGGTGTTTATAATGGGCTCAGCTGGGCACCCCCCGTTCCCATCAGCATCCCCATACACGCTCAGGTCAGGAGGACTGTGCTGGGTGTCTAGGAGCACCAAGGTGACCCCAGATGGGCCGTGTAGCTCCCGAGGAATTAAAACATAATTACTTGTCACATACCGGTAATCCTGGTGGCCCTGGAGGTCCAATTGGTCCAGAAGGACCTGTGATACCCTGAAAAATAAAAGCAGAACAACATTGATTTGCATGCAGAGATGCTGGTCTGTAACTACACAACTAACATCCGCTCACAGATGACCACCTGGTTTTGGAGGACTCCATTCAAATCTGGAGCTCTAACTGGTTTTCAAGCGTGTGCATGATCCAGACAAAAGCGTGACCGGGGAACCTCATGCCTCATTTAGGCACACAGTTTTAAAAATGAGTCCTCTAGATGCATATTTAATGTTACCATCCCTCCAAGTCTATTAAATTCTTTTCATATCACCCTTGAGAATCTGCTTTCCACTAAAATGGATCATTTTGGAGCATCTCTATATGTCACATGTAGAATAAACTACATTAACTTAGAAAATGCTCCTTCAGAAATTAGCAGGTCTCCTGCCGAGGTTGACCACGTCTGCTATGCCGAACCTGCTCAAAGTCAGCAAACCACACAGCTCAAAAGCACATTTAATTAAGGTCTTACGGAATATTTACCTGCTCTCCTTTAGGTCCTGCTGAGCCCTGGGGGCCTGGGAGACCTCTGTCACCCTTTTCTCCCTGCTCTCCTGGCGGTCCAATAAGACCAATTAAACCTGGATGACCCTAGGGGAAAACAGCAGATGTTAATTATGATCTCTTGCCGGGGGTAACTGAACACCAAAGCCACCCAGCAAAGACATTTCTAGGCACAACCCCAAATATCTAAGCAAGGTGAGAGGAGTTTGTAGCTACCCCTGACACCTGGAAGTGGCAGGGCAGAGAAAAAGCACTAGCTTTTTGCAATAGAAAATGCCACAAATATAGAAAAAGAACGGCTGCATTGGAGCACCTGCTCATTTCATGCGCTAACATATATCGCATAAATTTCTACAAGACTGAGAATGATGCCCTAAAGCAAGGCAGGTGTCTGCACCCCACTATGCCCTCTGCTAAAGCGCCTGTGTTCAGGCAGCCCCAACAGCCGGCGCCGCCACGGACTGCAAGGGCTGACGTAGGGGAACTCTGGTCCTCCGCGTCGCTTCGTCGTCATCGGTGCTGGTGATATGGGGATGGGAAATCTGGTCTTGGATCCAGATGGCCGGTGGCACATGCTCACCCACAGCACAACCCAGTTGGACCCTTGGGGCACACTCCCAACTCTCCATCTCTCCTCTAAGGATATGTCCAATGCTTCCACAGTATGAGAGAGAGCACATGGGGCTGGTGGCGCTCCTCAGCCTTGTCCTGCCAGCTGCAGGACCCCTCTACAATGACATTTTCTCCCCACACCCAGACATGGGCATCAGGTCACGCAGTGAGTTCCTGTAGGCCATTCTCACCTTCTCCCCTTTAGGACCAGAGTCTCCTTTAAGACCAGGCAAACCCGGTGGGCCCTTCGAGAGACGGGGGGAAAAACAAAAGAGAGAATGAATTCATGTAAAAGACATTCACCCATTTTAAAACCGCATGGAATTTGACTGTCTGGACATACCATTGGGCCTGGAGGACCATCTGGGCCAGGGGATCCTGGGAGACCTTGTTCACCCTGTAAAACAGTGCAATTCCCTCAAACCCATCCTTCACGACAGCAGTGCTCCCACCTGGGATTATTCAGATTATTCATCTGGCCTCACCCGGTCCCTGTGCCAGGGAGCGTTTGCCCTGGTTTCTCACAGGTGGGTGAAGGCAAAAGGATTTATTTTCCTTTCATGCTCAAATCTCTACTGGAAAAGGGACTTTGCAGCTCATGGAAATGTTATCCCAGAGAGTGGGTGAGCAGAACCAAGACTCAAATAAAACATGCTAAGAGATGATATTCACCGTTATGTTACTTCCACTAAAGATGTTTTATCTGCTGTCAGGCATTTAAGCACAGACAGAACATTAAAGTGGGAGAAAGGCATCTTCCAAGGCAGATGGGTTACAGTAAAGCACCAGGAACAACCCTGCCCAGAAGCTTTCTCAGATTTTGCTCAGTTTGGGAATACTCACAACTGGACCAGGAATCCCTCGAAGGCCATCGGGGCCAGGCTTCCCTGGAGCACCCTGGGGACCAATTGGGCCAGTCTTCCCAGGAGGTCCTTCCAAACCAGCTTCACCCTAGATGCAAGAGGGAGCATGGTTTAATTTGCATTGGGGCATCAAATTATCTTCTCACATACACTGTGGCTGCTGCCAGGATGTCACAGAGTGAACTCAATTCCATGCAAATCCCAGCACCCCAGACTGGTGGGGGCTGGAAGGGCCCTCTGGAGCTCCCCCAGTCCGCCCCCTGCCAGAGCAGGGGCACCTCCAGCAGTGGCACAGGACGGCGTCCAGGCGGGTTTGGGATGGCTCCAGAGGGGGAGACTCCCCCACCTCTCTGGGCAGCCTCTGCCACTGCTCTGCCGCCCTCACAGCAGAGAAGGCCCTCCTCAGGTGGAGATGGAACTGCCGATGGTCACGTTTGTGCCCGTTCCCTCTTGTCCTGTCACCGGGCACCACTCAAGAAAGACTCTCTCCATCCACAAAGCGTGTAAGACTTTCTGTTCATTGAGTTTCCTACTGCTCCCTACCCCTTACGCACTGAGGACATGGCTCCAAACTCCCTCACTTTTCAGCCTTGCCTATTTCTGCTGATTTCCGGCAGGAACTGCCCTTTGGCTGCGAGCTCTCCGGAGCAGGGAGCTTTCCTGGGTTTGGTCCTGGGAGATGAGCTAGCAGAGGACATCCTCCGCCACCAGCGTTCCTGCGGCTGCCGCAACAATTGGATCTATAATTTGCAATCCCACTCTACATTTCCCCACTGCCCCTACCAAAACAATCACGGTCTAATAATGCTGCGTTTGCCCTGGGAAAGGATGTAGGGCACTGCATGCCATATTATTTACAACACATTAAATTGCCAAATATGGCACTTTGTCGTTTCAAAACAAGAAAAACGTTCCCATGACCTTACCAAGCTCTAATTATCTCCACAGAGTTTGTTAAAAGATGAAACATGAGCTTAGATTTGAGGCCAATGGCCCCCAATTCAGGCTAATTTGTTGTAATACACAGAAAAATCAAGTAACTGTCTTTCAAACACCAACGCTGTCAGAGGGTGATCTTTTTGGCGTACAAAGGACATGGTAGAAGTGAAATCCCATTCAGCTCTTACCTTGGCTCCTTTCTCTCCTTGCCTTCCTTCAGGACCAGCTGGACCAGGAGGGCCCTAGAGAAAGCACAAAATAGATGCAAAAGACAATTAGATCACACTGTTCTGAAATGGTCTATTGGAATTACCAAAATGATGCTACAGCCCCAGGGAAGACGACAAAATGGAGACAAATATCTCTGAAAAGCTTTTTAAATTAGCTTCTTGCAAAATGAATCCCAGGGCTCTGCCAGCAAGGCAGGAAGAGCAGGAGGACCTCATACTTGTATTTATTTTCTTTTGGGTGTTAAAATCTCAAAAAAAAATCATGGGATTCAGTTGACAGCTTCCCATCAATTTCCAATGGCATATCAATTTTTTTATTATTATTATTACTATTATTTATTTTACACACTACTGCCTTGCATTTACTGTAGACCTAGTAATAACATTCGTTTCAAAAAGGCAATACAAATACATTTGGAAAAATACTCCTAATCAGCCTTACCCTTTTTCCTGGAGGTCCGGAGGGGCCTGGCTCTCCCGTGGGACCAGGGGAACCCTAGATGGAGAGGGGAGAACAAGCCATAACTGCGCCTCGAGGCATGGGAAGGAGGAGCAAACATGTAAAACTCGAGTTGAGATGTAGAGTTTGTGCTAAGCCGAGGCGTGGGTGGCCGGTACAACTCCCGACACCTCCTCGGGGGTGCAGGTGGTATCTTGTTTTATCCCTTCCCACCATGCAACAACATAAGGCACGGCAAAGTTAAAATGAAAAACTTTGATTTTGTTTTTCCTTAAGTGAAGTTTTGCTTTCAGGGTGTATCACTGAGCAGCCTGGATGGATGGCAGCAGCCAGGCGGACACGGGCAGGAGGGACAGGCATCAGGGGAGCGGCACGGCAGGAGAGGGTGGGAATTAGATGCTGTATGACGTGTGTTAAAAGTCCTTGGACTTGCACATGGAAACCGTGGGCACTCATGGGGAACAGATCTCATCTATCCAGTTACTCACAGTCTGTCCAGGTTCGCCATCATCACCTTTGTCACCAGGTGGTCCATCTTGACCCTAAAAAGGAAGAAGAAAGAAACAAGTAGGTGTATTTAGGGTAGGAATGGAGTTGAGCAGTGTTAGCAGCAGCAGGTGTGGTTCAGCTGCTCTTCATGTCACCAGCACCGTCCCTTCCCATCTCCCGTTGAGAACACCGGCAACAGCAAACGTCCTGTGTCAAATACTGCGGGAATAGCAGCATTCATATAGCCACTG